AAGATGTATGGCTTTTCAGGACATAACACGGTTCTGGAGAAAAATTAATATTTAAAAATAGCTGCCGGTCGATATGTAAGGATATGGGTTTACTGTTCCATGTAATTAAATTAATCATTAAAAATATAACCTACAATTTTTGTTTCAATTAAATAAGTTAATCTTAACAATAATATTAGGCTGTTGCATTTTGTGGTTTAAATTATTTAATCTTATCAGTTGAGGAAGAAAGAGTTGGTATTTCAATCTAATAAGGTGCCTATAAATTATATAATTATGATTTATTATAATTATGTAACATTAACATTGTCTGATCGCTTTATTTAATAATACATTTATTAATTTATCATAAAAGTATTGTTAATTAAAGATGCGTTTTTAAATGTTAAACAGGCATTATGTAAGAGCTAAATCTGCTTATTGCAGGTCTTTCTTTGGGCCTTAAATGTTATGTAAATTATCAATAAGACATTTATTAACATGAAAAGACCATAATCAACTCTCGATGCCATCTGATTGCTCAGATTTTAAATAGATTAGAACGGTATGGTGGTAAATTTTTAATATATTCAATTTGCATTATCTATTTTTGAAATGTTATAGTTAATAGCAAGAATGACCAGCTCTTTATCTAAATCTTACATAATTCCCCTTCAAATTTATGTCTATTGTTATTGTATTACTTTAATTTAGGACATAAAGAAATATATTTTGGTTCTCGCTTGGATGACATGTTTTAATTTTATTTTTTTTAAAAAAACCCTAACAAAACAGTCTTGTTAATTACTGCATGTAAATATTTTACCCCGGTTACACGAAGTAATTCTGTAAAAAAATTTGACTAGATCTATAGGCTAATTTGTCAAGTATGCAAACAAGTTAAATGTTAATGACATGAATGGTATTGGATACCGTAATCATATATTCATATAAACAACATGATGAGATAAATGTAGTGCCTTACAATTTTTAAATACTCATCTGTTTCAAACAGCTAAAGACTTCGTGTAGGTATGTTTTGTCAAGCACTATGAACACAATTTTTGCAGAGTTTTGGCGTTCATTATATTTATTTATTTGGTTCTTCTGGAGAAATACATACATCTATTTAAACACCAAAAGTACTTGGCTGTTCTGTTCAAAAGCTTATAGTTCCAAATTTTTAAACAAAACATCTTTCACATGATTTAATTAGCTATTTATTTTTATATCGAAGCCCGAAGAACAGGAAATCAAATTGGTGTGGCCAACATTGAAATATCAGATACCAAGGATGAAGTTGCCTTTATCAACTCTTGTAAATCTTTTAATGTACAGGATTCCTGGAAGCATCTATTTTAGAACAAAAATTCCTTTTCATTGATAACTAAAGCAATAATTCCTTTTTTATTTAATACTAATAGTGTTTTCTTTTTCCTTATAATATAATTGTTATATCTACCGAAGCTAATTTAATTTCTCAACAAAGCCTAGATCAAAAAGACTATGAAATAATTGCTTACATTGGGGTGGATTTATATAAGTAAACTTTTTTCCAGATGTTCAAGCTGAAAAAAAAAGTATGTGTATTTTTTTTTATTTTTTTTTTGGGGGGGGGGGGGAGGGGGGGGGGTCTGCATTCTTACAATAAATAAATGGCTATTTTCTAAAATTATTAATGAGGCCTAGATTGGAAAAGAATTTTGTAGGGATATTTACATCTTTATCAACTAAAGTATACAAACAAAGCTGAATTTATTTTAAAAAATGCACATTTGAATATAAACAAGATTTTTAAAACTGTTCTAATATACCATGTAATTGATAATAAAATGCAACATCTAATTTTATTAATCATACTATAGATAGGCCTATACCGTAGGCCTGTGTGTGGCACAGAGGTGCGGGTTAGTTAGCTCGCAATATAACCTTTTTCCTTTGGCAAATTAAATTGTAGAACATTTTATTTGAAGTATTAGAAAAATAAAAATAATGGTGTTTGAAGTATTATCTCTATATCAAAAATATTTCCTAATTTTAGTGTAAATTGGTACGGTACACGTCATGAATGAAGAAAGGCATTTTTTGCCCATTTGTAACCTTTTTTCAACTTAACGTCACACAGTAGCTATTTAATGTTTTGCAATAATCTAAAAATATTTTGGAAGGAGATATCTTGTTCTTTTTTTTCATATAATTTTTATATACGTGTTCATTTTATTAATTTCATAAACGTAAGTTTCAAAAACGTCAATTTCGCGTGTCACTGTGCGTACGTACTGTCGAAAGCTAGACCGGAAGTAAACAACCCCCCCTGCGCAAAAAAATATGCGCACGAACCAGAACGCAACATCACGTAAAGGGCTAAAGACGAGTCGGCAATCATACGGTATTATCTATGATTAGAAGCAAAGGAATCATATTTTATTGAAAAAAAATTCAAACGATTGCTTAATTCAAGGTGTTGATTTTTGTTATATTAACATTGTAGTTGTGTAAAATATATTATATGTTTAATTAATAATTTTGTTAATGATACATAATGTATGCAATATTATCTTATCGTGCTTATTATAGCCATTATAGTTCATTGTTGTAACCATGACGTTATTACGTCACATCAATTGTTGGAATTGGTAAAATTTGCCTGAAGAAGCTTAATAATAATAAAGCGGAAAGTACTCGCAAAAACCTAGTTTTTTTCCTAAAACATCTTTATTTCGAATATCTAACACCTAAGAGTAGCTTTAACTATAACCTTTTACTATATATATATATATATATATATACAGACACTGGGCCTTATATGGGGTCTCGTTATGAAGTGTTCCAGTGGGGCATCATTAATATGGGGCATATATATTATATACATATGTATACCCCACACTTTTGATGCCCTATTTTGTTTGTAAAATAACAGAATTATGTTATAGATGCTTACATATATACCCCACAATTTTGATGCCCCATTTTGTTTGTAAAATAACAGAATTACGTTATAGATGCTTACATATATACCCCACAATTTTGATGCCCCATTTTGTTTGTAAAATAACAGAATTACGTTATAGATGCTTAAATATATACCCCACAATTTTGATGCCCCTTTTTGTTTGTAAAATAACAGAATTATGTTATAGATGCTTACATATATACCCCACAATTTTGATGCCCCATTTTGTTTGTAAAATAACAGAATTATGTTATAGATGCTTACATATATACCCCACAATTTTGATGCCCCATTTTGTTTGTAAAAAAACAGAATTATGTTATAGATGCTTATGGGGCATATAATTTCTATACCCAATAAATAAAACACTAAATGTTCGTCTGTAAGCATCAAGAAGCACCCACGGGCGGGTTCCGAGGTTAGGTATTCTTGAAGTATAGCGAGCCCGGGAAGTCACCAGGTGCCCTCTAAATTCACTCTCGATGGCCGCAAGTGGGTGAAATCGAGTTATGTTGTACGAAAAGACCACTTGGAATGAACGGAAGTGGATTTTGAGGACATATCCTGATGCACAAGGACCAATAGCTGCAGGGCTATTTTCCCAGAGCTCCGACACAAAGTGGGTCCCATAGTTTAAACTCCCCACCTCGGTCCATTGGGGCTCCGGTGCCCCCAAAATCCCTTTTTTAATCATTTTTTCTAATTATTTTTTTGAGCTCATCCGGAGAACTAGTCCTCATGGCTACCTCCCCTAAATCGACTCTTGCGTATTGCGTGGTGCATTTGGAATGTTTCTCCAGTGACCGGAAGTGGGTCGAAATGACCTACAGTGGTCATTTGACCTAGACCTCTGAGGGTCAAAACAAGGCCACCACACAACTCCCAGCGGTCGATTTAGTTTAAGAGGCTGCGACTTCAAGATGTAGATATTACGTAGTGACCCTGTACATTTCAGGTTCTTAGCTTCAGCCAAAATGAAATGCAAGCATTCTCAATTGAGCGAAAAACCATGCACTATGTGTAGAGAGGTTTTCATTGAAAAAAATGTCATTTTAAGCTTGTCAAAGCCTCAAATGTACAGTTCTAAATTGAGCTAGCAAGCTGAAATTGTTACTGTCACCCAGGAATACATGGACGATTCACTGATTGCACATTCATGGCTCCAATATTTAAAAAAAACAAGCAGGGATGATACATGGGAATAGCCCGAAAAGGCATGGGATTGCCAAAGAATGCAGAACTGAACACCACTGCCTTTGTCACTTCTAATCATACTATCCCCTTGAAATGTTTATATGTTCCCCAACAGACTCTGCAGAGGTACCTACCCCGATTCCAGCTTCCTGACATTAATAGAATTCAATACAGAGCATCACACACATGAAATTTGGTCAAATTTGCCATATTTAGACATGTATTAGATCCATAGCTTAATTTTGACTTAATCTAGTAAGCTGAAATTTTTACAGCCATCTTGTCATATATATATATAGGATGAATTTCTAAAATATTCCAGCTTCCGAGCTCCCAAATTAAGCAAAAAGGTCAGTGGTGGTATGTCGCAAAGAAGTGATCAGTTAGGAATGTCATAGCTGCAAAATCTCCATTTGCACTCAGGGCAGCAAGCTCCAATTTTCACAGGTCTTTCATAATATATACGGGAAGATTATATCAAATTTTAGTCTCCCGGCACCAAAATCGCACGGTGGCACCTTTTTTTAATTTCAATTCCCCTCCCTAAAATAAAAGAGTGTTTAATGCAAGTGTTAAAAGTTTTAATGAAAGGGTTGCATAAAAGTCACAGGTCAAATTAGCAGCCATAATGAACTTATCTCATTTGCTTGCGCGTAGGGGTCTTTTAGCAATGCAAGAAAACCCTACTCATGTGCAGTCTTGGGTTCGAAAACCATGCCACTGTACTCAATTATAGACCACTTTAAGACCACAAAACCACCCACATGGAAATCGAATAGATGGATTAGAATCAGAACCAAACTGTTAGATCTGAATTATTTTATTTAAAAATTAAAATACAAAACAAAATTGTTATAGTATGTCATGACGGGCAACTCTACTTGACTGAATTACAGACTTTATGATCTAAAGAGCACACCTAAAGACTACTCAACCACCCACAAGGAAACCAATTAGATAGGTTAGAATCAGAACCAGACTGTCAGATCTAAATCATTTCATTTAAAAATCAAAATACAAAACAAAATTTTGACAGTAGTCCATTTCATAACAAACATGTAATTTCAATAATATGAATTAAATGTATTTTCAAGAAATGTATTCTGATCATCGGACCAGGGTTTTCTTGGTATCTTCTTAACAGGCTTTGCTAAAATAAAAAAAGAATTTTAATTTTAAGACAGATAATAAACAGCATAATTTATAAATAAAAGAAACCAAAACCTTCCGTATCAGATTGGATGGTTAATATTTTCTCATATTATTATTTGTTTCAAATTAATACCAGATTACTATTCCCAATATGCCAAGAACTGAATAAATTTGCCAATAACACACACATCTATGGATGGACAAGCCAACAGTGAGGCTGATGTCCCCCGCCGAAATCTCAAAATAAATAGATGACACATATTAATTCATTGCACATTTATTTTTTTCAAAAGTATCGAGCAATCAAACTACACACTAAGTTTCATCACTCTCTATCAGATAGAATCAAGATTATCTTGTTCCAAAAGCATCGACCAATGAAATTGCTTATCTCTGCTTACCCTGAGCAGAAAAATGCTCCTCTTCGAACACCATGAAGGCATTGACCCAATAAACACCTACACCAAGTTTGAACATTCTAGTTCAATAAGAAGGAGAGTTATTGTGTTCCAAAATCTTGGCCAATCAAATATTGCTTATTGCTCTGCTTACCCTGAGCAGAAAATGCTCATTAACGACCTTAGTCAAGGTATTGATGTAATGAAACTATACACTAAGTTTCATCACTCTCACTTAATTAGAACTAAAGTTATCGTGTCCCAAAGCATCAACCGATCAAATTGCTTATCTCCACTTACCCTAAACGGGACATGACCTAATAAACACCTACACCAAGTTTGAAAATTCTAGCTCAATTAGAAAGAGAGTTATTGTGTCCCAAAAAGTGTGACTGACAGACGTACGAACTCATTTTAATAGTCCCCTGCTTTCTTCGATATTATTCCTTTTTCCGATCTGACATAGGGTGCCTGAATGATAAGCAAAAAATATATTTTACATTCTGATAAGAAGACAGCTACACTTGAATTTGAACAGTTCTTGGAAGAAAATGTTAAACAAAGCCATACATGTACATGTATATCAATTTTCATGAAAGCGCATCCAATACAAAACCAATTTTAAATGAAACAGCATACCTATTTCCTCTAACACTGTTTCCTTTGTTGCATTTTCATTAGCACAATAATCTGTCTTTTGACTGCCCAGAGACAATGGAATTTCTGAAATATAAAAATATTGCATTTTAGTTAAGTAGAAATGTACCCCAAACTTTGATGATTATGTATAGTAACAGACAACAGCACAACTGGCAGCAAATGTACTCCGTCCCATATGATTTTCTAGAGTGAACAGTAAGGATAGAAGTATAGCATTTGTAACTAATACATTTAGTTTGAATTACAGAGGGGGGTAATTACACATACACAACTTGTTTGTGGGAGGGGGGTAGCAAAAATGAAACCGATTCACACACGCATGAGTCAATAGATTATTGAGGAGTCTTGTTTCGTTACTGAATGCCTAAAAGATTTTACTAATTTGAGCTTTAATAAACTGCTGTGTATTGTGATATCCAATGAAATGAAATATACATGTATTAAGTATTTGGGATTTTTGTTTACCTCATCTATTCATTTTGTTGCTGATGCATAATTTGGAGATAGACTGCACTTATTTTGAGACCAGACTATATATTTGCCCCTTCCCCCACCCAACATTTATGCCCGCGTTTAAAGGGATTTAAAAACAGAAATCATAAACTAACCTTCAAAATCAATTGAAGTTAGATATCTCGCCTTTGAAATTATGCAGTGTTCCATTTTCAAGAGCTATCAAGGCTTGAATATCGGTATGTATTGCCACAGTGTGGCCCATGTGCACTGCAACCAGTTTAAAGTCCAATTCATTTCAAGGAGCTGTAAAAGTAAAATGATGAGAAATAAATAAAAACTAGAATTGCGCGCAATGCTGAAGGCTTTCACTGTCGCCAAGGCGTCACACGATCGCCAGATATATGACACAAGACTATCCCCACCATAGACCGCATTCCATGGGCACAAATTGTCGTTGCAAAAATATTTTCGTTCCTACAAATCCGGTCTAGAAGAAATTTTGTCAGTGTATAGTTCATATAGAGATATTCGTTTGTTGTAATGTTCTCCAAAAAATTTCATAGTTCTTCGGTGATATTCTTCGTTGAAATCCGGACTATGTATTGATAGTAAGATTCATAGTGCGCGAGGTCACTGGACAGAATTCAGCGTTTTCGCCGCGTCACGTGATCGTTTTTATCCACAATCGACCAATTACGTTATTGTCTACATTCGCGTGTGTTGTTGGTAAACACAAAATGGCGTGCTTCACGAGGAACACATTGCTGTTATACATGTAGAAGCTACACGAAATGGCGACAAAGGCTCATTAACTTGTATTGTTCACGTAGACAGTGTTAATAAGGGAAGTGCAGAACCCTTTACAAACACAAGGTGAGATAAATGTCGTGAGGTAGCTATAGACTGGTTTCAAATGGATGGAAATGGGCCGCATTCCATGGGCACAAATTGTCGTTGCAAAAATATTTTCGTTCCTATAAATCCGGTCTAGAAGAAATTTTGTCAGTGTATAGTTCATATAGAGATATTCGTTTGTTGTAATGTTCTCCAAAAAATTTCATAGTTCTTCGGTGATATTCTTCGTTGAAATCCGGACTATGTATTGATAGTAAAATTCATAGTGCGTGAGGTTACTGGACAGAATTCAGCGTTGTTCGCCGCGTCACGTGATCGTTTTTTCCACAATCGACCAATCACGTTATTGTCTACATTCGCGTGTGTTGTTGGTAAACACAAAATGGCGTGCTTCACGAAGAACACATTGCTGTTATACATGTAGAAGCTACGCGAAATGGCGACAAGGGCTCAATTAACTTGTATTGTTCACGTAGACAGTGTTAATAAGGGAAGTACAGAACCCGTTACAAACACAAGGTGAGATAAATGTCGTGAGGTAGCTATAGACTGGTTTCAAATGGATGGAAATGACCAATGCATTGCAGCATTTTTCGATACAAATGGATTTATTACGATGGATATTATATTGAAGATACAGTCGGCAGTGGTTTTTGATTTCACCCAACGTTTTATAGATGTTTTAAGAACAAAACAGTTAAAATATGCGAGAAAGAAAGAGAGTGACTCGGTGATAAGACAGCGTCTACATTCAGTCCAACCGAAACTAAAACTGTCACGACATACGGACTATTAGTATTAGTATTACTGTGATGTATATTAATCATTCGACAAAAATAACAATTCACTCATAACATAATATTTTAAACACGGTTTCACCAAACCTTAAACAAGATATGACCACTTCTATTCCAACTAGTAGAAGTAATAAATAAATGTAATAAAGGTGCATCATATATAGGCTACAGACCATAAGTCCAGAAAAATTTGTGAATGAAAGAATTGAATATAACCATCCAAGTCAACCCAGATCATTGCATGCTGTGATTCAAAGGAAAGAGGGGAATACTAATTAATCAAAGTTTTTGATAATTCCTAATTAAGTCTTTCACACCCCACTGATAAAGGCACATGAGCTGAACATTAATGTCCAGTCGACACGGTTCCTTTTTATTTAAATAATTTGCTTGCATGTAAGGGTCTGTAGCAGAGGGAGGAAACTGGGGGACTCGGAGAAAACCCACAAGGTTGAACAAGTGACCCTAGTCCTTGTCACGTACAAGCAGGGAATTGAAACTAAGTCATTGACGCAATGACAGACCTTATGATTTCATGTGTACATGTTAAACCATTCGCCACCCACCCTCCATATTAAATAGATGTCTTTGTAAATTACGTATGTTATAGTTATACAGTGTATTAAGTATAAATGTCTACAGTGTATTTAAATTTATGTATTAAATAAATGTATATGAAAATATTATCTATTAAGAAATATTGGTATTTATATTATGCAATATTTATATTAATAAATATCATTTGATACATAATATATCAAAATTCAAATGTTCTTTTTGGCCATTATGACCCTAATGTTTTGGCTGTTATGTAGTTTTGACCAAAATGTTTGACCGTTATGACCAAATACTTGAGCCATTTTGGTTTAGGGCCTTTATGCCCATAACCCCTACTACTAGGCCTAGTACTTCAACAAATTTAAAAACTAAAAGTGTGTCTCATTCACCCCTACTCCTTCATTAATCTCACCAAAGGAATCACATCATGGTGCAGTACTTGCTACTACTTCATCAGAGTTAAAGAAGTCAGTTTTATCAGAGATCTGTATAATTTGCAAGAAAAAATCCAAGTATGTTCGAGCGGGGGCCATACAAAAGAGGGACAATTTAGTCCAGTGCGAAATAAAAACAGCATTTTTATTATTTTATTTAAAGCACCAATAACACTTTTGCTGTTTTGATAAGTCCAGTGAAACAAATACCGGTAGCCTTATTCTAACTACTAAATGAGTTAGTGTCTTACTTATCTTAGGTGATCAAAAATATTTTTCAAATCAAAGGTTATTAGTTTTGGATTTGATCGACTACATGTATAGTATCTGTTATAATTGTTTAAAGAAATCAGAATATTTATTAATCAGAAGCAAGATTCCAACATTGAAAGTGTGTTTGGCACTTATATCGATGATTACATGTACACTATGCCGTAGGTGAGCCCCATATTGATGGGGGGGGGGGGATCTGGTTCATTCGCAATTGCAGACAAAACCCATTTTTCTATATGAAAATGAAATTTGACAGCTTTTAATTACAGTCAAGTGTTATTTGAATTCATATATCTATTGTAAGCTTATACATTGTAGATGCAAAATTTTATTTTGTCCATATGGGCTTTTCTCTGACAATTCTGAGCTAGTTCAAATTATTTAAGCATTTCTTCTTAATATTTCTGCAACTTTTTAAGTTTTCAACTTTATTTCAAAATATGTTATTTCATTCTTAATCTTAGCTATACACTAGCCTATCCATGATCATTATCAAGACAGCAGGCTAGACAGGTTTTAAGTATGTTGTTATGTAAAATGAATGATTTTATTAGAATTACACTTATAGAACCAGTGACCTTGTTGCATTCTCTGTAATCTCCCTTGATATTAAGGCATTTTTCTAGTGAAATCGACCGGTCCAATATCCTTAATCAGTGTCGAAAAAAACCTGACTGACTGCCACATTTTATGTCAGTGTGATCAAAATACCTTTTGTGGCTCTCATACACCACTTCTCTACACGGATGGGATGTATTTTGGGTTCATTTGATCTCTGTTCGTCCCAACCGCGAGCAATTTGCAAGGTAAATCGTGCGCATGGCTTTGTTTACAAATGCTATGACCTGGCACTTGACCCCAGAATTTTTGACCGCAACCCCGCAAGCCAGACCGCTGATTGGCCAAATTTAAAATAAATGCGCAGGATTCAACTCACATCTACGCAAATATGGCTCCGCACTATAAAGAAATAAGTCATCGATTTATAGCCTATTTCAAGCTTGAACTATTAAATTGGCAAATTTTATTGGAGAACTTTGTTGACATATTGATTGCACGATTATTGATAGTCCGATTTGTAGACCGGTTTAGCGGGAGCGAAGGTGACAAGATTTTCACCCCGAGAATTCGGCCTACCACTCCCCCACCCCCAAAAAACCCACACTCTAGCATAACTCAGATATTGACCCCTAAACATGCTCCAACTCGTAAAAATACGCTGTTTTCAATTTTCGATCTCTTTTTTCGGCTACCCATGACAATTTAAAAAATTGTACAAGGATTTCACACAATACACTACCCAGTAGAATCTCGATTGAGCAAGTTTGAAAAAAATCATTGGCGGCTTTACCGAGAAACATGGGTTTAAACTTGATCGAAATCGTAAATAACCTTACTTTTCAAAGTCCCATAAGTTTTTTAGTTGGCAATAAAATCTTGTAGCTATAGCACCATCTCGTAGATAATTCACATGGCTATCATACGACATAATACTTTAAGTACTCGGTAAACAACCAATTGATACATCGCATTTGGCGCACAGGCACCCATTTTTCAGAATTTTGTCAAATTTTGAATACCTTTCTTGATCACTTCCGGTGATTAGAGGATTTTCATTTATAGTTCATGGACTGGTTTGGTCCGTCGACTTCATAGTCCCGGCGTTTCAGAAATATCGTAGGTGTCGTAGGTGTTCGTACCTTTCTAACCAGGGTAATTATGTAACTGTTAAATTAAACAACGGATAACTCCTAATTAGTAAATAATTATTATTATCTAATGATTGTTGTTTGGTGACATATATAGTGTAACCAATATATACATTGTACTTTTATAATCAATATGATACTGTATATTAGTCGTGTTTATGTTCTTATGATTTAAATTTCTTCATGCAATATTTGTAAATCGCCAGTAGGAATAAATGTTTCTTATATAATTACATTATGCTGGCTGGAAGTTGCAAGGTCGAAGGTCAGCGATGAACTCGCTGATCTCGACATGCTACGTTCCGATGGCACAGAAGCTCCATTAAAGCTTCTTTCTGTTTCAGCGTGCGCTGTGTCATACGGTCTGTCATTGAGTCAACTGGCGGGGTTTCGATCCCCCGGTTGTACGTGACAAGGAGTAGGGTCGCCTGTCCAACCTCGTGGGTTTTCTCCGGTTTCCTCCCACTGCTAAAGACCCCTACGCGCAAGCGAATTATTGAAATAAAAAAATATAAACCATATGTTAGTCCCGAAATGACATAGTTTGTTTCGAGTGGACGTTAAACCCCATCTCTCTCTCTCTCTCTTTCTCTCTCTCTCTCTCTCTCTCTCTCTTTTCATTCACATATATATCAATTAGGCTCTCTATAGAAGGAGTTCCCCCAAAAAATATTAGATTGCCTTTTTGAGAAAAACACCTCTAAACATGCTCGTACAGCGGCGCTAGTCTACTCTTATATAGAATTCCAACTGCCAGGGGATCTTTT